CCAGGAAAGCCTTGGAAGGGAGGGGAGGGATTTGTTACAGAGCTCCTGGGGACATCTGGGGGTGCTCAAGGACAGGGGGAGGCTGGTGGCAGGTGGCAAGGACACCCCTGTCCCCATAGAGTGGGGCTGGATGAGCCCCCCAGGTCTGTGCTGCAGGATCCAGTCACAAAGGTGGGATCTGAGCTGCAGGATCCAGTCACAGAAGTGGAATCTGAGCTCCACAGGAGACATCCTGGGGCAGAGAAGGGGTAGTGTGTCCTCCTGAGGTGAAAGAAGGGTGCTGAGTGTCCACATTCCCTCTGCATCCTGGTGGGAAGGACAGTTCCAAGGTCTTCTAAATGCCATGAGAGGGGCAGTGCACCCCAAACCTGGAGCAGTGTGGAGGGGTGAGGGCAGTGGCCCCTCCAGAATGGAGACATCCCACTCCTGTCCACCTGCTTCCAAACACATCCTGACCACAGCCAGGTGGGACAGCACCAGGACACCCCCTACTCTGGGAAAACACCTTCCCAACAGGCTCATCCATGTGCTGCTGGTGATGGTGGTGGCTCAGCCCTGGTGTCCCAGGCTGGGAAGGTGAGGACACAGGACACCAAAGTCGCCTGGAACCCCCCAGGGACCTGTGTCTGTGCTTCCAGCTGTGTGCAGGGAACTGGGATAGCCCCAGCCCTGCTCCAGGCTGGCTCTGTCGCTCCTCAGTCGCTGTCCTCGCTGTCCGAGTAGGCTCCCAAGAGCCCGAGGGAGGAGGTGGTGCCTGTTGCTGCGGGAAACGAGCCTGGAAGAGGAGGGAGAGAGAGAGAGGACACCATCAGGTTCAGCAAACCCCACGGTTTGGGCAACCCTGTTTGCCCAAACACAGCCTGTTTGGCTCTCACAGCTGGAGGAGACTCCCAGCAGTGCTTCATCCCAGGTCTGATCCCGGTAAGGGATAAACCAGGTGGCCAAGGAGCTCCCACACCCCTGGCTGGAGGCTCCTGCAGAGGCAGCAAGGTTGGCCCAAGGTCTGTGAAGCCCCTTCTTCCCCTTGCAGCACCCCCAGGAGATTCCAGCCACTGGGAAGGGGGAGAGGAGGCAGCTCTTGGCTCTGCCCACACCAGCTGTCAGTGTAGAAATCCCAAATCCTTTAGAGACAGGAGTTCCTCCAGCATGGTTTGGCTGGACAGACCCTGCCAACAGCCAGGAGTAGGTAATGGGAAACCATAGGAAAATGGGGAGAACTCCAAGAGTTGTCCTGTCCCAGGGATCCCTGAGACCTCTCCTGCCCTAGGAATCCCGTGAGGACAGGGAACCACTAAACCAAATGCTTAGGATCAATCACCCCTGAACTAATCAACCCATCAGCTCCTTGTCCAAATCCATGGATCCCTTGGCTTGCTGGGGCAGTGAGCACTGAGGTGCTGGAACACTCTTCAGCTTGTTTTCTGCTCTTGAAAGCTTCCCAGCTCCAACACTTTGGCTGGATTTATCACCAAGCCCCAAACCAAAGCAATTCCTTACTTCTCCATCCTTATCTCACTGTTGTGACTATTCCCAGTGCCATATCTGCACTTCAAGATGCTGTTTGGAAGCTCCTGAGCCTGCCAATTTGTCCCCAAGGCCATGGCTTAGTGCCAAAGGCCAGGAAAGAGCCTCACTCCACCAGGGAACAAGGACAACCCTCTGTTCTCACACCACCCTCAAGGACTTCACCACCATGTGGGTAGTGCCAGAGCTCTCCCTGATGGCCCAGCCAAGGCCACCCATGAGGCAGGTACCTGTGTCACCTGTGGTGCCTTTGTCCTCAGTGCCATTAGGATGTGGCTTCTGCTTCTTCAGGGCCACCAGCCCAGCCAGCTGGGTCTTGCTGTTCAGCTTGCCCACACTTCTCTCCCAGCTCTGTGTCTTCAGCTTCTTGCTCTGTGGTTCTGGGTCCTGCAGAGCAGAGCAGAGGGTCAGGGGGCTCTGGCCTTGGAGGGGAGGAGGGATAAACATCAGCACAAAGTGCAGGAGACATGAGGAAAGCAGCCCTGGGAGGAATTCTCCCCCCTGCAGTGACCAGCACAGTGATATGGATCTGAAGGGCCCTTGGGGATCAATGTCTCACTGAGTTCTGGGACCAATCCAGCCTTGGGTGGCTGTGGGATGGCCTTGGGGGGTTGAGGAGGCAGATAAAAGGATCACAGGATGGTTTGGGTTGAAAGGACCTTAAAGATCATGTTGTTCCATGAGCAGGGACACCTTCCACTAGCTCAGGTTGCTCCAAGTCCCATCCAGCCTGGCCTGGAACACTTCCAGGGATGGAGCAGCCACAGCTGCTCTGGGAAATCCATTCCAGTGCCTCAGCACCTCACAAGGAAAAATGTCCTCTTAGCATCTCATCTAAATCTCTCCTCTTTCAGTTTAAAACCATCCCCCATGGCCTATCACTCTCTGCCTGAGTAAAAGTCACTCTCCCTCTTTTTTCTCAGCCCACTTTAAGGCCACTCAGTCAGCCACAAGGCCCTGCCAGCCAGGCCTGTGTGCCTGCAGGTGGTCCAAGCACTGAATCTAAGTCCCCCCAGGCAGGAGGATTAGTGCCAGGCCAGGGAACATCACTCAGATTAACCCCAGGCAGGCTCAGAGCCACAGCAGCTTTGATTCAGCCAAGCAGACACAGGTCCCTGCAGACAGGGATCGACAGGGAGAGCAGCAGGGCAGGGGCCTGGCTGTGGGGATAATCCCTCCCTTGCAAGCTGGGCACTCAAAGCCCTTTTGTTCTGCTTGGCTCCCAAACAGATCCAAGGGAGAAGCTGTCCCAGGCAGTTACCTCATTGCTGGGATTTTCCAAGCACTGAAATCCTGCCCGAAGCAGCACCAAGGCACATCAGAGCCTGTTCTAAACCAGCTGGGAGGGAAGGGAGGATGGGGGCAGTTCCCTCCCTGCCTTTGTCAGCAGCCATGGCCTAAAAGCACCAACTCATCCCTGTCCCCTTCCAGCCCAGTGCACAGGGACACAGCTTTGGGAGCTGCTCAGGCGTGACAGGCGTCGGGGCCCAGTGAGCCTGAGCAGGGACACAACAGCACCCACAGCTCCAGGCCAGGGCAAGCACAGCACATCCTGAGCTGGGAGGGACACACAGGGATCACATCCAACTCCTGGCCCTGCACAGACACCCCAACCATGCACCCTGAGAGCATTAGGCAAACATTCCTGGAGCTCTGTCAGCCTTGGGGCTGTGCCCACTGCCCTGGGAAGCTGTTCAGTGCCCAAACACCTCTGGGGGAAGAACCTTGTCCTGATCTCCAACCTAACCCTGTTCCAGTGCCCAAACACCTCTGAGGAGAAGAACATTGTCCTGATATCCAACCCCATCCTGTTTCAGTGCCCAAACACCTTCGGGGAAAACAACCTTTTCCTCATATCCAACCTAACCCTCCCCTGACACAGCTCCATGTTCCCTCAGGTGATGTCACTGGTCACACAGAGCAGAGCTCAGTTCCTGCTCCTCTATTTCCTTTCATAAGGAAGTTGTATACAGCAATATCTCCCCTCAGTCTCCTCTTCTCCAGGCTGAACAGCCCAAATTCCATCAGCTACTCCTCATATGGTCCCCTCAAATTCCTTCACCATCTTCATTGCCTCCTCTGAACACTGATACCTTAATACCTTTCTTATCCTGTGGTGCCCAAACTGCACAATATCCAAGGTGAGGCCACACCAGCACAGAGTGGAGAAGGACAATCCCCTCCCTCTGGCAATGCCTTGCCTGATGCCCCCCAGAGTGGAAGGCCCAGGAAGAGGTGGGATGGATGGAAGAGCCTCAGCCCCACTCACCTCCTGCAGGATGTCTGTGGGGTTTATTCTAGCTGAGGGTTTTGGGTGGGATTTCGATGGTTCTTCATCTGAGTCAGAGTCCAGAAGGAGCCGTCGGTTCTGGGCCTGTTCCAGCATGGATCTGTGGGAGAGAGGTCAGCACCAAGGGTTGGGGCTGGATCTGTCCCACTGCCATGCCTTGCTTGGTGATGGGATCCACCTTCTGGGGTGGGTTTTAAGGAATCCTGTTCAGGTGGTGCTTGAGGGTGAGAGCTGAGAGCTGCAGCCAGGGCAGGAACTGTGTGCGGACACTGCTCAGGGGGAGCTGGAGCCCCAGAGCTCACAGAATCCCAGATGGTTTGGCTTGGAAGGACCTTAAAGATCATCCAGTTCCACTCCCTGTTATGGGCTGGGACACTTTCCACTAGCCCAGGTTGCTCCAAGTCCCATCCAGCCTGGCCTGGAACACTCCCAGGGATGGAG